AATTTGGCTCAAACATAAATTTTCCATTACTTTCTTAGATAGTTTTCCATCAACAAAGGAAACAATGAAACTTATTACATAATTATTAATATGTAATTATTAATATGTAATATTATATAATTATTCAATTTAATCTCATGTAATTTGAAATATAATATTTGCATATCTAATTTGTAGCATTAAAATATAACATCACTACTCTAGGAGTTAATTCAAGAAGATCATTTACAAATATATTAAGCTGTAAAGACCATAAAACTATGTAAAATAAAATGGATAAATGAGAAGTTTCACTTTTTTTTTTTTTTTGACTTATGTTAAGCATGAACCAGCATTTGGAGATGTTTGTTTGGATTACACTGAATGCAGTGTAGTTATTATTTCATCAGTGTGTTCTTTTCATTGCATACTTTATAGCATTGCATATATAGCCTGGGTGCATTTACATAATGATTGCCTCAACAAAATTACTCTTAGGTAAATATATACAAACCACTTTTATCCTTCAAGAATAGTGGTATTTTAATAAACTTTCTTCTCAAAAAATATTTGCAATTTACAAGCCTCTCTGAATTCTCTATACTTTCAATCAGGTAAATGAAATCTATCCTTATTTTGAACTCAACTGCTTAAAAATAATAGAGTAAAATTTCACCCTTGATTCATTAGTTATCATTTGCATATAGTTATTTTAGGGCATTCTGACATTCAGTTGATATTAGTGAATGCCTATTTCATTTCATCTGCAGTATTCATTGCACATAACCTTATACATTGTTAGCATCAATAAATTATATAATAGTAATACATTTTTTCAATTTAATAAATAGTTCCTAGTCTAAAAGGCTGAGCTAAGTAATATTGGCAATTGTTTTAATGCTGGATCTCTCAGAACTGGCAATATGTTAATGTACATTATGACTTCTCAAGAGGAAGATTTTCCAGGATTTCCCAAGGTTTTCTGATCATGGAACTTATTGTTTGTACAGTATGTCTCAAAACTATTGTGCTGTGGTACATAATTTGTTATTGGAGGGGGGGGTTTGACATAAAGTACTGTGTAAGAAATAACGGCAAAATATATAGATTTTTAAGTGGTCACTTGCCTTAATAAATACTTATTTAACTGAGTACATACCCATTAAAAGGACAATACAGCACTTTTATAAAACATATAAAATGTGATTAATAAAATAACTTATTTCCATAAAATTTGAGATTTTAGAGAGCCCATCTGACTATAACTTATTTAGCACAACTTAGGAAATGTTTTGTGGTAGAGACATGTTAGTATAAGTCTGTTAGATCTAGGGTTTAGATCACTCCTAGAGGATTGTTTACAATCCTTGGCACACATTTTAAGAGAGAAGCAAACAGTTATTTGTTGAGAATAGAAGAACTGAGATGGTAAATGGGCCACATATTTGATGACCAGAGGTACTGAGATTAATGTGAGGAAAGGAGAAAACAGACTTTTTACTTTACAATGTGTAAGCTAACTGTTCAAAAGTATAAAAGATTTCTTGGGAAAGAATGGATTTCTCTGTTAATGAAGGTACTAAAACAGATAAATTTATTACTTCTTTCTTAGACTCCTAAAGAGAATACAAGGGTCAAATGAAATGTTACAAAAATATATTTTCAAACTTTACATTCTATGATTCTATAGTCCAGGAATAAAAAAGCAAGCTTTCTATTTTGTAATATGTGGATTGTTCACATATTCTAAGTAGACAGAAATAAAATTAGTTCATATAATAGCCAAATTATCCCATTTTATCTTATTTAATCAACATGTAAATTCTGAAGAAATAATAAACATCAAAATCCTAGTAAACCCAATGGCTTTGGGGTCTTGTCCAAATGAAATCATTCCCTCCTCCTTTGATTCTACTTGACCTTTTATGAAAGAACAACCATCACCAGATTGTTAGGTTTGAAATTGCTATAGAAAATTAGTATAATTTTGAAACAATTGATGGATGGGAAACATTATACTTATCTCAAATGACTAGGCCAAGATAGACATTTTAATAAATGATGTTGGGACAATAGGGAAGCCATTTAGAAAAACTTGAAATCAGATCCTGTAAGGTAACACACAGCTACACAAATTCTAAGAGAAATAAATGACTGAATTCCTTGATTACCTGAATGTATGGGAAAGCTTTCAGACTATAAATCAAAATGCAGAAGCAATAAATGAATAAAGTAATAAATGTGACTACAAATTTAAAATTATATACTTTTACACTGCTAAAAATATCTCAAAGTCAAATATAAACAAAAAACCTGGGAGAAAATGTTTGCAAAATATATCAGACAAAAGACAAAATCCATTATATATAAAAATCAAGGCTATTTTTTTTTAATTGAGAAAATAAGGAGTCCAGTTTCTAGTCAAAATGGAGTAAGAAGGATCAGAATATCCTCTCATTTGAAACAACTATGACAAAACATATGATACAATGACACTCAAGTTACTGGACAACAGACAGTGAAGGACAGCCCTCCCTAAAAGACTGGAAACAACTTAAGTGAGCCTGACAATTGTCCCAGGTGACATCCTGGAGAAAGTTCCTGGGGAAGAGTGAAGGAAAGAGAGCCTAGGCAAATACAATTGTCTCTCTGGTTGAAGAATGGAGCTGGGATCTAAGGAAACCTAGACAGCTTCACAGAGAAATTTTATAAGACAGAGTGCTGGAGAGGGAGGGCTGCACGTACCAGCAAGGAGAGGATGTCACAGATCTGAAGAGGGTCCCTATCAATATTCAGTTGAATACGGATTGCTCATTTGTATGAGGAAACTAAGGTCTTAGAAAGAATCACCTAAAAAGATTATAAGAAAAAGGGAACAGAGTTCATACAGGGCTTAGAAAAATTCCTGTTCTCACCAGCTTGAGTGAAAAAAAACAACTTGTAATTAATGGAGCCACAGCTAGAATAGTCAGAGTCTTGACTCAGTAGTAGGGAAAGATTATCATTAGTCCAAACACAGTTCTAGTTTCACCTAACAAAAAGTAAGACCCAAATGATCAAACTCTTTCCAAGTAATCTGATCATGTTCCAGATAAAAAGGTCAAGGATATTTATAGGAAACAAAATTGCCCTTACACATAAAAAGATAAAATTCACAATGTCCAGAATCTAATTAAAAAATCACCAGGAATGCAAAAAAGTACGACACAAAATACAAAATGAAAATATATCCCTAAATGAGGAAAAAAAATCCATTAAAACTGACCCAGAAAATGATAGAAGTAGTACTCATTGAAAGTTATTATACATTCAAAAAGCTAGAGGAAAGACTGAACATGTTAAGGAGAGACATGGATAATATAAAAAAGTCTCAAACATCTTGATATGAAAACAAAATGTCACAGATAAAAAATACACTGGATTTGATTAATGATTGGTTAGACATTACAGATAAGATTAGAGAACTTAAAGATGTAGCAATAGAAACACTCCAAAATGAAACACAGAAAAAAGAGGAAGTCTGAAAACTATGGCCTCTGGGCCAAATCCAAACATGCCCACTTGTTTCCATATTGTTTATGACTATTTTACCAGTGTAAGAGTTGAGCAGTTTGTGATAAGGACTATAGGCCCACAAAGTCAAAAATATTTACTGTCTGGCTCTTTACGGAAAACTTTACAAACCCTTGCTCTAGCCAATGCAATAAGACATATATGATAATGAAAATAATGATGGGTATGATGACGGAGGTAGTAGCAGTAAAGTATATTATTTGCTTAGGAAGAAACTAAATTTGTATTCACAGAAAACATAATAATTTATAGAAAATTTCACTGAATCCACTAAGAAGCTACCATAAGTGAACACATGAGTTTAGCAAAATTATTGGATAAAATATATAAAATTTAACTGCATATCTATAAACTGGCAATCAACAATCAGAAATTAAAATTATAAAAACAATACCATGTACACTTGCATTAATAATACAAAATATTTAGGAATAAAGCTGACAAAAATATGGTCAATAGCTATACACTGAAAACCACAAAACTTTGCTGAGAGGAACTAAAGAAGCCTTAAATGGCAGGGGGGAACTGACTACAAAGGGTCACAAGTGATTTTTTAGAGTGATGGAAATATTATATTTCTGGATTATAGTGGTGGTTGCATGGCTGTGTCAGAACTCATCACATTTGTACACTTTAAAAGGGTGAATTTTATCACATTTATAACTTAATAAGCTTGTCCCAAACAAATCCTATTTCTTTTAAAGTGCCAAAGACAATAATTAAAAATAAAATTAAACATGAATCATGAATGATGTAAACTTATGGTAAGGGATACAAAAATTATAACTATAGTGCAATGCAATTCCTGACCCATCAGATTGGCCAAAATTTAAAAATTAGGCTAAACTGGGAGACTGGGATTGACAAATACACACTAGTATATATAAAATAGATAACTAATAAGAACCTAGTGTATAGCACAGGGAAATGTACTCAATACTCTGTAATGGCTTATATGGGAAAAGAATCTTAAAAAAAAAAAAAAAGAGTGGATATATGTATATGTATAACTGATTCATTTTGCTGTGCACCTGAAACTAACACAACATTGTAAATCAACTATACTCCAATAAAAATTAAAAAAAAAAAACGCTATAGGAAAACTGAGGCTCTCATACATCACTGATGGGAAGGCAATCATGAACAAATTTGGCAATAACTAACAAAACTATAGGCTGTTTATTCTTCTTCATTGAAGTTCCATTTCTAGGAATTTACCTTGAAGATACAACCACAACAATACAAAAATACATATGCATGGGATTATATATTATAGGATTGTTACTGAACAACACTGGAGACCATTAAATGTCCCAACACAGAACTTTGCTTGAATAAACTGTGGTACACGAGCATAAGTGTAAAAAGCAATGTGCAAATGAACACCCACACCCACCCACCCAAACTATAAGAAAGAAGAAATAAGGAAACATGTATAATTTGCTTACTTTAACAGATTGAAACTGAAGGACCCTACTTCCAGGAAGAATGTCATGAGGCAGTACTGCAATCCCCTCTGCAGAAAACAAATATAAAATTGGAAAATGTTATTTAAAATCAACACTTCAGGCACTAAAAAAAAGAACTAAAACTTCAGATAACAACTTGAGAAGTATTTATGCATGATAATTTGTTACTGTGTTGTGTAAGCACACAGAATTTGTGGTATTCTTGCCCCATAATCCCACCCTCACTTAGAGCTGCAAAGCCTGCCGCTTTACCAGCCAGAGGTACTGAGTATCTTTTGAGACAAGCATCAGGAGCTTCCAGTATTTTAAAAGGCAGATTTTGGAAATGAGAGACCTGAAGACTGGCTGAGAAAATAAACTTATCACACAAGCCTCGCTGGCTGAAAGCTGATTAAACTACCTACACCTAAGGCGATCCTAGAAGCCCAGTGAAAATTGAAAGCCTGGGGAGACCTGAGAATTTTCTGTCTCTTTGAATGTGTTCCTCAAGTCACACACACAACTCAGACAGCAAAGGGTGGAAGCCTTAATTGCTTGAAGTATCTGACCTTAACCTTTGACTGACTTTAATGTATGCAGGAAGGGGCTTCCCTGGTGGCGCAGTGGTTGAGAGTCCGCCTGCCAATGCAGGGGACACGGGTTCATGCCCCGGTCCAGGAAGGTCCCACATGCCACGGAGCGGCTGGGCCCGTGAGCCATGGCCGCTGAGCCTGTGCGTCCAGAGTCTGTGCTCCACAATGGAAGAGGCCACAACAGTGAGAGGCCAGTGTACCGCAAAAAAAAAAAAAAAAAAAAAAAAAAAAAAAAAAGTATGCAAGAAGAAGCTATGCTATTGGAAAAAGAAAGCAAAATGCAGAGATGGCATACTAGAGGGAGATAGATTTCACAGTATGAATACAGAAATTTTAATTGCCTATTAAACAACTAATTAAATGAAATGAATAAACAAATAAAAATACAGAAATTCTTAGTAAAGCAAAATAGAATCAGAGGTTGCTGCATTGTATTGTCCACAATGTCCAGTTTTCCAATAATTATTAGCTGTGCAAAGAAATATGGAATATTCATGAACAATCAGGGGAAAGAAAAATAGAGCCAATAGGAATAACTCTGAATGTCTGAGTGTGCCCAGATGCTGGATTTAGCAGACAAAGGCTTCAAAGCATGTTTTATATATATGTTCAAAACTTAAAGAAAAAGAAAGAATTATAAGATTATGTGCTAAGGATTAGTGAACAAATAGGGCATCTCATTAGAGAAATGGAAACTATGAAATAATCAAATGGAAATTTTAGAGTTGAAATACACAATCAAAATTCTCCAGATGGGTTTGACAGCAAATTTGAGATGTCAGAGAAAGACTCAATGAATTTCAAAGTAGACTAACAGTAATTGTCTAACATCAAAAACAGAAGAAAAATAGAAGAAAAATGAAAGAATCTCAGAGATGTGTGGCACATATCAAGCATTCCACAGTAAGTGAAAGTGGAGTCCCAGAAGGAGAAGAAAAAGAGAAAGGAGCAGAAAAATACTTGAAACAATGGCCAAGAACATCTCCAATTTGCTATAGAACAATAACTTTCAGATCCAAGAAACTTAACAAATCTCATGTAGGAAAATAAAAAGGAAATCATACATAGATCCATCACAATCAAAGTGTTAAAAGTCAATACAATAACAAGACCAAGAGAAAATACAAAACATTTGGAGGCAATGAATAGTATTAATGATTGGCATTTCATCAGAAACAATGGAAGCCAGAAGAATGGTATATCAAAGGTATTGAAAGAAAAAAAATTAACTGTCAAGTAAGAATTTTATATCTGGTGAAACTACCTTTCAAAAATTAATGTGTAAAAAAAGACGTTCCTAAGTAAAGAAAACCTGAATTTGTTGCTACCAGATTTGTGCTACTAGAAATGCTAGTGGAAGTCCTTGAGACTGAAGAAAAATGCACAAAAAGGTAATCTGGATTGACAAGAAGGAATAAAGACATTGGAAATAGTAAATATGGAGGTTAATATAAAAGTATACATACAGCGTTTCCTTCTTTGACTTTCTTTAAAAGACATGGTTGTTTAAAACAAAAATTGTAAAATTATATTTTGAGATTGATACTGTATATACATGTAATACATATCACAATAACACACAAAAAGCAGGAAATGAAACTATACTAATGCAAAGTTTTTATATTTAATGGAAGCAAATATGTATTTATTTGAAGTATACCGTTATAAACTAAAAATGCGTATTGTAATCCTTAGAGAAACTATTAAAAACGATGTAAATAAGCACAACTAAAAATTCAATAGAGGAATTAGAATTGTATAATAAAACATTTTTACACAAAAGAAAGCAGTAAGGGAGGAACAGAGGAACAAACTTACGATACAAAATAAATATTAAGATGGCAAAAAAGTCAATCATATCAATAAATAGTTTATGGCTTAAATAACATAATAGAAAAGGCAAATATTGTTATACTAGAGTAAAAAAGAAAGCTCCAAGCATATGCTTTCTATAAGAGATTCAAATTAAAATCAGACACAATGGGGTTGAAAATAAAAGAATGCAAACACAAATCACAGGAAAGATGAGCAATTATTCTTACATCAGAAAATATATGTTTAAAACAAGAAATATTAGTAGAGATAAAGATGGAGATTTTTATGATTATACAAAAGTCAATACAACAGGAAGATACAACAATTACAAATGTAAAAGTACCTAACAACTGAACTTCAAAATACATGAAGCAAAAATTTAGAAAATTAAAAGAAAAATTAAAGTAACATTTATAGGTGGAGATATTAACATTTTCTTAGTAGCTGATAGAAAACATAGATAGAAAATCAGTAAGAATATAGAAGGCCTGAAAACAATATCAACCTCCATGACCTAACTGACAACTGTAGAAAACTTCATCCAACGACACAAAAATATATATTCCTTTCAAACAGCCATGGAAAATTCACCAGGATAGAACATATGCTGGATCATAAAATAAGTCTCAATAGATTTAAAAGGTCTGAAATCAAACATTACCAAAAGTGACTCACAAAGAAATTTAAAATTTTAATAGCTGTGTATCAAGTTAAGAAGACTGCAGGTTAAAGGTCAACATACACAACTCTATTTTATCAATTTTATTTCTATATACTAACCAAAAACTTCCTAAAATGAAATTAATACACAGATTCCATTCACAATAGCATAAAAGTTCATATTTAACAATAAATGTACAAGACCTAGAAACTGAAAACAACAAAACACTGCCACAGAAATTAAAGAAGACCAAGATAAATGGAGAGAGATATCATGTCCATGAATTGGAAGACTTAATAAGTGCTAAGATGTCAAATTTCCTGAAATTTATTTATAGATTCTATAAATAAACCAAACAAATCCAAATTCCAGCAACCTTTTGCATAAATTGACAAATTGACTATAAAATTTTTGTAGAGATGCAAAGGATACAATATATCCAAAACAATTTTGAAAAAGAATAATAAAGTTAGAGGATCTATAACCTGATTCTAAGATTTACTATAAATCTACAGTAATCAAGACGATATCGGGACTTCCCTAGTGGCAGAGTGGTTAAGAATCCGCCTGCCAATGCAGGGGACATGGATTCGATCCCTGGTCTGGGAAGATCCCACATGCCGCAGAGCAACTAAGCCCGTGCACCACAACTACTGAGCCTGCATTCTAGAGCTTTGCGAGCCACAACTACTGCGCCCTCATGCCACAACTACTGAAGTCGGCACACCTAGAGCCCATGCTCTGCAACAACAGAAGCCACTACAATGAGAAGCATGCCCACCGCAATAGAGTAGCCCCCGCTCTCCGCAACTAAAGAAAGCCCACGTGCGGCAACAAAGACCCAACGCAGCCAAAAATAAATAAATACATAAATTTATTTTTAAAAAAAAGATATGGTATTGGTATAAGGATTACACCAATACCATACCATCTTGATATAGATATATGTCATATATATACACACTTATTATATATACTTATACATCATTTACATATTATACATATACATGTATGTATGATTAGTGGAACATACAGAGTCAAAAAAGAAATCCATACAAGGTCAACTGATATTCTCCAAAGATGCCAGATAATTCATTGGTATTTGTTCACAACCTCAGGAGTTCCCCAGGTGAATTTGAAACTGGTCCTCAAACACAGAGAGCAAGAAGTGACCAAAGAAAGAGGAAGACCACAACAAATTGGTAGGAGGCAGGTTTAATAAACAAGGGAACTTACATATGAGGTTTGTCTTGGGTGGCAGCAAGATGAGTAGATCTCTGCACCCACCTTCCAGAATCTTAAAAGTTTATATAGAAGCCTTAGCTGGGTTCAGTCATGTATACTGTCCAGATGGTCTCAACACCACCTTACTATCTCAAGGCTGTGTCCTTGAAAATGGCTCCCACTGTGGGAGTAGTGGGTGTGACATACATTCCAAGAAAACAGCAGGGGGGAGGAACCAGCTCTTGGGTCATGTCTTCTCTATGATCTCCACCAACAATTAGGGAAAGGATAATTGTGGGTTTTTTCTTTCAATAAATGATATTAGAATAACTGTATACCCTTAAAGGATCAATAAAGGAATATTGACTAATGATTTATTTCATTCAGTGGATTATATTCCAGTACTTATTTATTTTTATGCATAAATTGTCCCTTATTTGGCCCTCTGGACCATTTCATGGCTCCTTTAATATAAGTGGTAAAGTTGGAATAATAAAAATTGTTTGGGCAAGACTCATTAATAGATTCCACATCTAAGGGAGGATTCTGATGAGTAAACAATGGACAAAATAAGAAATATTTTATTTTAAAAACAAGTATCAGTGTCTTAGACTAAAGAATACCACCAGATTAAAGGAGATTACAGGGACATGACATCTAAACACAGTATGTAATCATGGAGAGGATCCTGTATTGCAGGTGGAAATATTATAAAAGTAAAATGGGTCCTAGCCACTGGGTAGCTGATAGGATTGAGATACAGATTATCAAAGTA